AAATCAGGGACAGTGATTTGATTCATTGATTCAGATCACTGTCTCCGATTTGATTCAGCTGAATCTGAAGATTCGATGCTGATTCAGAGAATCAGTGATTTGGACATAGACACAGCTTTAAATGTTTTTTCTACATACCTCATGGTACCAGGTGCAGCTCGTGAATGCTGCAAAGCTGGGGTGGATGGAGTGTCCCACACGAGCATGGGGGGGCTCCCCACGTCCTCAGCGGTGAACCCGAAAGTGGACCGGAAGTATTTCTTGTCCATTTCCAAGTCCACCAGGGAGCACACAGAAGGGCCCCCCTGGACTCCCTCCTGGCTTGGCAATCGGCTATGGGGGGACCCCGGGTGCCCCTCAGACCCAGGAGGCACCAGTTGCTGAGCTGGGGGTGTGGGGGAGAGAGGGCCCAGTATGCTCTCTGGCAGACCTGGAAGTGGACCGGAAGTGCTTCTGGTCCACTTCCAGGTCTGCTACTGAGTGTGCTGGGGAGCCCCCCATGCTTCTGTGGGACACTCCATGTGCCCCAGCACCACAGCATTCCCGAGCCACCTGCTACCTCGAGGTATGGAGAAAAAAACATTTAAAGCTGTTTCTATGTCTAAATTGCCAAATCTTTCCGAATCTCCCCGAATCAACTGGAAGGGTTCCAATTTGATTTGGAGAGATTAAAGGGTCCTTGGATTCAATTCAGATTCGCAGTTTTGGCCACTGAATCAAATCAGGGACCGAAGCGTTGCACAGCCCTACTTTATATGAAATAGACTTAAGTACTACCCTGAATAGGAACATATTCCTGAACTGGAACCTAAAGCATTATACTTTTCCTCATTCTCATTCTCTGTTGTGACAATGTAAAGTGAACTATACATGCCAAAATAAATGCTCTAAATACACATTAAGTTATGCTTTAGCTTTAAATCATGGCCTGAGCCATAACCTGTACTCGATGTGAAATATAGATGCACTTCTCAGGATCATGCCCTTAGGGCTTAATCCAGCTCCTTTCTGAGGCCCCAAACTCAGCAAAGCACTCAAGCACATGTTTAATGTTGCTCTGAAAATGCAATGGAAATTGGGAACATTCAACAATATGTGGGAGGCACTTTGGTACCTTTCAGAATTGGGCACTATATCCCTAATCTGGAAACTGCAGTATCCACAGTGGGTATCCCAGTCATTAGTGTGAGGTTCGACTGCATTTAAAACTTTAATTAAGTGGCACAATATAAAATCTGTTTGTGGTCTTACCTCCGCTGCTTGGCATTGGCCTAGAAAAAGAAATAAAACAGTTCTGCAGAAAACAAGCTCATGCCATTTCAGCAATGAGATAACATTTAAAACCACAGAAGAAAACACATTCTGCCTTTCCACTTGTAAAAATATGGTCAATATTATCCATGGAGTTTGTATTCTTCTGCAGTCTAAACAGCAATGAAATACAGGTCACAATAGAAGAAATATTCTTCCTGCTGCAGGAAAATTATACTGCAGCTAAAATGACAGCAAGCAACCTCTCAGAGACTGTATTTCCTCACAAACACATGGAAGAGGCAGGCGAGGGCAGAACACAACTTAGTAGTAGCTTTCTTTTCTTTTTTATGCATCAAGTAGATTTTAATTACTGGGATGTGTTTAAAAGTGAGAAAAAATACAGACAGTAAAATTTTGTGTCACAACTAAATTTGAACACAGCTAGGCACTGGTGCAGTTGTAGTCTACCAAAGTCACAGGAAAGGTATGTATGTATACATGACAGAAAGTGGTCTGTTTAGCAAGGCTCTTAATTCTTTCGTTTAAACATAATATTTTTCCAGTTAAAGATTACTGAACATTTTATTTAAAAAACCTTAGGTTAATAGTATTATTTTTTTTTAATGAGGCAACATAAAGCAAACTTATATGATTAAAAATATATGTTGGTGTGCTGCTGCATGAAGGGTGGTTGGAACAAAAGAAATAAGGAGCAATCAGTTCACAGGAGGAGAAAGATCATTGCAGGTTTATACCAATCAAGCTTTGTTTTCATGCAGTATTTTCAACCAAGGATGAACTTGAGTTGTGGCAATCGAAAAAAAATTCTCTACTTTTTTGCATTATAAAAGATCAGCCTGAACTGTCTCTTTTTGTTTAAGACCAGTAGATTAATGTTTGATGAAAGTCATAGTTCTTGTTAAATTAAAAATGGACTGAAACATAATGCTTTCAAAATCATTTCATTTTATTTCAGCTTATCCCCAGCTAATTAAATCCTCCTATCATCAAAATGTAGAGAATAAAAACAAACTCCTCACATTTAGATGTCCTATTTATTCAAAACAAGGTTTTTTATTTTTTAACTACGTATATAGGTGCCATGATTGTTTATTCAGTTTGGCAATGATAAAAGCCCCTAAAGGACTAGTTGGTCACATTTCTACCTGCTTTGTACATTACTCACTGAAAACTGATGTGCTTTTTTCTTGGTGACATTCTCATATGTGTTGCAGTTACTCTTTCTACCTTTTTCAAGACTTGGTCAAAGGAGCATTTGTGAAGTTTGACCCTTTTAAAAAAATCAAACAGTTTTACTATACAGCGCAACGTATGCAGCTTCCAGATCTAGTTTGTTTAAAAACTTGCAACCTGGGGTCTTCAGTAGTCATCAGAGGGGCATCATTCACTAACATATTATAGAATACAACAAAAAGACCTTGATCCCAGCTTTCCATTTTCCTAATATTGTAATTGTGTCCTAACCTGGTATTTCAAATCTGAAGCAATTTTCAATTTTACTGGTAGCATCTGTGTAAGAAACCATTTAGATTTTATTTCCTGTCCCCTGGAATTGGTCATCTCACTGTGTAATTACTTTGTATCATGTTATACACCCTGGGTATGTTGTAACGCTGTTTGCGTAACCAAAGTGTGGAGCATTTGCAAAACCTAGTACTGAGGTAGATTAGCAATTGTAGTTATAATGAAAGTAAAATGGATGTTCAGTGTCTGTGCAACAGGAGGTTACAGGCAAGTGTAATAACATAGAAACTAACATAAAAATAACAAAAATATGAATTATTAAAACAGTCTTTCAAACCTTTAAATTGAAATCAACATAGACATTTTAAAATATTTTTTAAAGTTTTTGCTTAATGCTAATTTTGCTGTTTTGTAACATGTAATAACTGACCTTTTAAAAAAATATATAAAGCCTAAACACATGTTTTAAATATACACTTCACTTTCTTTCAACACCAAAATACTACATCTCAAATGCTGACTGTGGTATCCAAAACATAATGTATACTATGTAGAAACCTGTACACATTTTTAAAGTGCATATTAAAATGGCATTCTTATGATCTGCCCTCTGAGTCATATAATGGAAACCCAACGCATACATCCATGGATAAGAGTGCTTCAACTTGAAACAGGAAAAATTACTTAATTACTGACCTTCTAGAATTTTAAGAAAACCCTCAGAATAATTTAATGTGTAAAGGGGCTTACCACCTAATGTCTCTAGATATGCTGTAATCTATGGGTTTTTTTTCATGATTCAGAAATAGGATATTGAAACAACAGTATGCATCTTCCCAAGCAGTTCCCTCCAATGGCATTTTTACACTTCTGGCTAGGCAGTTCCTTGGACTCCATTTTAATTCAGTTATCTTCCTGAGATACCTATACCTCTCTTATGTAGTTAAAAATAAGTATTAGGTCTTTGGTAACTGGGTCCTCATGTTTTTCAGGAGACACACAAGGTTTACCTGTAATAAGCTACACATAGTGTTAAAATCTATTGATTATTTGGGGTAGAGGGGGTTCAGAATTATTTTTGATGAGAATATACTGTGAATACTTTTGGGCAGCATGCCCCAAAAATTTATTTTGGGTATTTTAAAAGCAATGCATCTTTAAATTTAAGTTATCAATTTCTTCTCCCCCTTCTCCGTTCAAGACAGGTACTTCATCTAGCATATGAAGCTCTTAACATTTTCAAGTAAATGAAAAAAATTAAGGTGATATAATGCTACTTAGAAGAGGAAATCAGTATAGATATTTTAAAATATTTTTTGCTCAGTATCAACTGATCCATGAAAAATTATTTTAATGTGTGTAGTGGCTGGAGTCCTTTTTAATGGCCATGCATAAACCACTTTTGAGAACAAGATGGAATAGAATAAAAAACAAAGAACAATGGAGTTTATATGCATACAGATATGTTTGTTAAAAATTATTTTAGACAGGGGAGCTCTGCAGTACAAAAAATCCTCTTAAATTATTTGGTTTTGCCACTGCCTGCAACATGCTGCTTGAAATACAAGTGGACTTTTTCACATGGTAAAAATACCTTTTATGTGCACTGTTGCTGGAAAATAAAGATGACTGTCATTTGTGCATCTCAAAGTAGATGTGGAATTTCAGTAGAAAAAAAGAAAAAAAAAATCAGGGAGTATTTTAAGTTTTTGTCTGATTGATCCAAAAACTTGTGTCTACTCAGTTTCAACATCTGGGAGTTGGGTGTGGAACAGCAACATTGTCTATTTAGCCTGGTTTTCATCTTGAATTGAAGGCAAAAATGATACACATTTAACCAATGGCTGAAAATAAACTTAAGATTTGCTTATGGCTGGTCTACATGAATAAAATCACTTGTACATAAAGATGATAAATCACCACTCCTCCTTCTCCAAAGAAAACAAGCCTCCGATAGCATTGGGATCAGAGCTGAAATTGCATTTCAGCCAAAGACTACAGAAAGCTCTTTTGGCATTTTCCTGTTGTATTTAAATAGTTAATGCTACATACTATGCAGATTGGAGCATCTGACAAATTTTAGATAATCATGGAATATATAGAACTCGCATGACTTAGCTTGTGCTGTGCCTTCTTGGAACAATGTGTCATGGCACTGGAAGGTGGGTCTCTTTTGAAGCTGAAACTGAGGGAGATTGTAAATCCCAAAAAATGTCACTTTTAACCTGTGAAAGGAAGTCGAAAAAGACAAAACCACACAAACTTGGATAGGACTTTTATTTATAATCTATGTGCACACATGGCTGTAGATGATGATACTAACAATGACATAAATAAACTCAAGCGAAAGATGTAAGCAAGTGGATATATGTAAAGGCTTCTTTGGGCAGTGCCGCAAATTTGGACATGGACCAAGAGAATTATTTATGTCCCTTGTAATTTTGATGAAGAGCACAAAGGGGATAATTAAACCAGGACGCTTTGCATCGCTCTTTCCATCTTGCGCACATGCATGCCCACCAAATGTGAAATGTTCGCCTTTTCCCCTCAAATGTGATGGTTGTTGAACTTATTTTTAGTGTCATTTGATAAGCCTCCCTGCTCACAGAGAGACATCCCACTGACCCAGCCACTGGTCATTGTCTATACCAGTTCACATCAAAGCAGGCGCACTTTGTCAGGTTTCGACTTGAATATCCATTTTGCATCTGAAGTACAGTATCGAAAGTGACTGGATCATTTGAGCCTTTTTCTTCAGCTGCTGCCTCCTTCCTCCCCCACAGTGTTTCCGCTCACGCTAACATAATTTGGCATCGTCGACGTGACACAACGCTGGTTTTTCTAAAAAATTATAATACATACATTGTCAATGTTTTCTGATGGCCAGCGCTCCTGTAAATTTAATTTATAAATTGATGAAAGGAGGTCTTTTTTCCACTGCTGAATCTTCACCAATGCACCATGCCCCCTCGAAAACCGAGTAATGCGCATATAGTAATAGGTCATTCAATGTCAAAAGGCATAAAAAAGATGAGCAAAATCTTCACAGGCTGCTGCTTGCTGTTGCCTTTAATTATATTAATTAAACTTTGAAATTCTCATGCAAAGAGTTGCTGGCTTGTGACGCTGAAGAGCCCTTGGAGATTCGGGGGGGGTTGGGGGGGGGAGGGGGACCCTGAGATACCAGCTTTGTGGCTACCGCTTTTTTTAATCTAAAAAAAAATAAAATAAAAATACATAAGCCTAGAACTGCTAGGTATGTTTATAGATGATGATGTTTTATGCGCTACTGAACTCTGAATGCAGGAAAGGGGAAAAAACCACCAGCCACAGTGTCAAGGTCTTGAAGCATCAGTCCCTCAAACTCTGCTCAAGATCTCTGGTTACAGGCTGTCTTCCTGCAGAATAATGCTCTATTAATTTTCTTCCTGTCCTGGGTGCATAATGAAAGAAAGGTGTCTCGAAAAACTAAAGGGCAAAGTCTTGCTTGCTACCAATACCTTGAGGCACTCTGTCTACATTTTGTCATGCGTGTGCACTTTTCAGTGTTAGAGTGACAAGATTTCCAATCAGAAGGTTCCCGTAAGGCACAGTGCGATGGGGTACTCAGAAAGATTTTGTGATTTGACATCGCTGTAAGGCAATGAACTTTTGCATTTGCTTAGCCTGGTGGGAATTTTTATCCTCTGCCTATGGCTAATAGTCCCTATTTAAATAACAAATGCTATCTTTGCATCTGAGAGACATCATATCTCGGCTAAAAGCATATTGTGTCCTGAGAACTGGAAGTCTTTTTTTTTTTTTTTAAATGATCATCTTTGGTTGTTTTTTCCTCTCCCCACACATGCATACTGGACTCTTGTTTCAAATTACAGGCATGCAAGTCAATGCTCCTCTTCATGTCACTGTTACAAATCACAGAGTGTTAAAGTAATGTAGAAAAACATGAGAGCTTGGTATGGTAATGCTGGCTTGTGGAAGAATGGAATGGAAAAAACTTCTGAGCTGAGAATCTGAAGTTAATCCAAGAAATTCAAGGAAATTCTCAGTTGTCTTTGGCAGGTAGAAAAGTGGTAATGTGGCAGTATTTCATTCTTGTAGCCTTCTTTATTGACTTTGAACTCGGGAGAAGTTAACACATCGGCCCTGGAGGAAAAAAACAGACAGTAACTTATTGGTGGGTGAAGTAATGAATACAAACTAAAAGATCCTGAAATGGTAACGTTAACACATTAAACAGAAATAGGTATTTAAATTAAGAGTTTTGTAGAAATGGCATTGCCATGAAAAATGTTAAATTTAATAATGAAATTCATCTAGAGCAGTACATCACATTTGATTTACTAATTTATGATATGGTTTCATAATTGAGACAAATAAGATGGATACAGTCTTCTGAAAACACCTCCGTTTTTGGTGATTATGATATATGAGTCTTTTAGTTCTGAATAACTGTTCAATATGTAAACCCAAACCATTTTCTTCTGTTTTACAAACAATAGAACAAGATTTTGCTCAAAGTTGAAGAGATACCCAGGGACAGACAGATTTCCCATTAAACTTGCTCCAAGTATACAATATTATTAATGAAGCACTGCTGTTGCTTGTTTTACACAAGCATTTTATTAATACAATAATGTAATAACCAGAGCAGTGCATCTACCTTCTTTTTGGGGCATTAAATGGAAATGGTTCCCCAAATATCAGGTTGAATTCAATCGAAATATATCAGTGGCCCAATTCATTCTGAGAGTAACTCCACTGATTTTAATGGTGTTAAACCAGGGATGAATTTGGCAAAATCAATTAAAAGGAAAATGGAACTGAGCACAGGGAGGACACCGGTTGTTTTTTGTAAGCCTTTTTTTTTTTTTTTTTAGTTTAATTCAAAACCATGCCCAGAATCTGGTCACTCATCAAGTTGGCTGTACTTTTCACAGAACAGCTGACTTTAAGCATATCTCACTTTCAGAGAAGCAATGACTTCTCGTTCCAGAAAGGAAAAGTGAAGGTTATGCTGAAAGTTTGTTCTGGACTCTGTTATGGATAACTTACATATTCTCTGAAAAAAATATGGTATCATTAATACTAGTTAGTCATTGCATTGGTTATTTTGTCTCACAGTCCTGCATTAACAACAAAGACATTTTTCCTTTCATTTACCAATTCCTTTCTTGTGGGTAAAGTGCAACATAAGATCATAATATAGTTCTAAAATAATACCTTTGAATCAATTTCAGAGACTTTTAAAAACAGGATCCTATGCCAACAAAGGTAGTCTGGGCACATCTACATGTGCATCTACATGTGCAGTAGCCTATTTTACTGCATATTAAAGCACTGCATAAAACTGCAAATACACTAATGTGCAGTAAGAAGCTACTCCACATTAAGCTTCAATAAAAAAAAAGCATGTGCTTTCACTACTGCATATTAGGGCAGCTTAATGCACATTTAGGATATTTATATATGTGCTTCTGGGGTGTATGGGGAGGCACTTTAATTAAAGTGGCTCCAAAAACCACTCTAATTAAAAGTACCCAGCATGTCTCATGTATCAGTGTCCCTGTACTTCAAAACGGCCACAGCGGCACTTTATCTAAAGCTATCTGATATCTAAAACAGGGGTGCCACCATTAGATAAAGCACCCCTGCAACCATTTTGAAGTGTGGGGACACTGATACACAAGATGCTAGAGGCTGCTGGAGCATGGTAATTACTACACTCCAGCACACACGATTATTTGAGCCTGCTCCAATGCACTGTAATTAGTGTGTAGGAGCAGCCTCCCTGCTTGTGTATAGGCACCCTTATTTAATACCTTACATTGGAGGTACTATATTTAATATGCATTAGAAAAAGTGCATTAATGCATATGTAGATGTGCCCTCTTCTGGGAGTAAGCTGATGTACCTCTGCTTTTAAAGACATAATTGATTAAATTATTACTCTTTTACTATTTAACACAATGGCAGGTACTGGGTTATCAAGGACAATTTGAGTGAAAGATCTGCATTTCTTTATGGTTTCAAAAACATTTTTGCTAAATTCCTTTTTACAATAAACATTTAGGGGTATTAAACATACTGGGGTGGTATTATTTGGCACCACTGAAACAAATATGAATGACTGAGTGGAATGAGAGGAGTCAATATTCTCCAGACCAACTGGAAGAATAAATATATAAGGCTGCAGAGAGCAAGGCAATCTTGTTTCCATAATGCTTTTCTAATGATTCTATGTCCTATCAAAATATATTTGTTATGATAAAATATAAAAAAGAAAATACAAGGTTAGATTACTACACCCTAGCTACTTCATTGTAGATTATAAATGCAGAGAGATAACCCATAAATGTTCAAAGATGCCATTAAAGGTAAAATAGAAAGACACTGTTCCTTTTTACATTATATGCTTTTTAGAAATTAAATATAACAAAATGAATGCTGTTATAGAACACAAAGCGTGTCCTGAGCATAAGGAAAAACATTCTAAACAAATCTAGCAATTCCCACAATGAAACTGACATTAAATAATGAGAGAAAAGGCATTCACAATGAAGTATGATACAGTATAGGCAAAATGTAAGTGCAATAAAATAGCTGCCAAAATTAGCAAATGGAGGAACCCCAATGTGCCTAGGATGACATGAATCATTGCTATTTACCCTTCATTGTGAAAGTCTTGCTTCTGATTGTTTTATGTTGTAGACATATAGATCTTTAAAATATATTTACTGGTGCATTAATTTATATACATTTTGGGTAAATGCTTAGAATATTTTTCCATTTTTATATCTGCATTCACCATGTGGCTTAAAATATGGTCTTTAAAATGTGTTTTAAAATGTGTTTAAACAAATCAGGTGTCTACTTAAGGTGTAAAATTGCCGTATAAGGTAAAATATGCCACTACAGGACTGCTTTCCTGGAGTCTGGGAGTAAAAAAAATTAAGACCTAGTGAAACAATTAAAGTATTGGAATGAATTAACTTTATCAGTTTTAAAACGAAAGCAAGTCCTTAGTTATAAGGAAGGATGTTCTACTGAGTCATAAGAGGGATTTCTAGCCTATGTGCCAAGTGCAGTAAACATGGGAAATTACTGTCTTCTGTGCTCAGTGGGGCAGAGGACACTTGAGTTTCCATTTCTATTCTCATTAGGATCCTATCAGGAAAGTTAGATTTACCTCTCATCATGGCTCCATTAGACTTCCTCCAGAAGTAACTTCTGAGAGGAGCTGCTATGGCAATGGAATATCTAATGTAATACTGATTTTGGATTGCTGTGACTCCCTCTGGTCTTTCTTTCCCCATCCTCCAGTCCCCACCTCCCTGTATATGGACTTGTGGTAGCTGAGTGACACTGGGTCCATTTTCTGGCCAACACCTCTTTATAACAATAAACTGAAAGCATGGCCAATTAATACTTTGTCCAAAAACAGCTGTTCTCATAACTCAAAAAAATTTGTAGCCGTTTCAAAAAAATAAAGCAACTCTTTCTCCAAACTAGCACAGAACACAAAATTCATAACCAGTGTGATTTGGTTACAGAATTCATAGAACCAAACTTCATGGAAATTGAAATGAAGATTGAATAATCCAGATATGGAGACTGTAAACTCCCTCTGCAGCCAAGCCACATAGCTTTTAAGCCAGCCATAAGCATTACCTAGAGAAACTGCTCAAGTATTTCTCCTACCACAAAGCTTACAATTCTGGCTCATGCTTTCACACTTGGATTTTAACAGATAAGGGATTTGTTAAGCATTGCAGCAGACTGGTCAAGACATCTTGGTATAGTTACAGAGTCATGAAGTCATAAGCCTGCTCTGGGCTTATGCCAAAGGCCAGTCTCTCTGATCCAGCTGTAAATCAGCACCTAATTATTCAGGCTGAGGTAGTCAAAAGCAGACCAGACAGATGTGATGCTGGGCCCTTTGCTCCCTTGTATACTGTTGGCTACAGGAAATTGGTAGGTCTCAGCTATGTTAGCTCAACTGGTTGAGAGGCTTGGGAGAAGCTACGGGCTTTTGTATCTACTTTATGGCATTTGGATCTGATAAGTTCAGCCTCTGCCTAGAGAACATTTCACAAGCCAAACTATTCTTCCTTAGTCTAAAGGCCTATGCTGGGTTTCTGAGCCCAGAGATGACAGGAGCTTAAGCTAGTGATTCTCAATGAGGGTGCCACAGCACCTGGAGGTGCCATGAGATCTTTTCAAAACTAATGCACAAAATTAGCATTGTTAAGTATGCAAACAGTTATACATGATTCACAAGAAACCCAAAGATTTCCAATCAGAATTCACAGAGTCAGAAGTATTCTGCCCTGCTTTGGTCTTTCTGAGTTCTTTGGAACAGAAAAGGTAGTCTATTATTTTTCCATAATCAAAAAAAAAAAAGTGAAGCTAAAAGCTGGCATTTTTAAAGGGATGCCCTGAATCTAAATGAATGTACCTTGAGCGTGAAAAGGTTGAGAACCACTGATAATTCTGTCATCAAGTCACCAAGCTAGCTGGTATAGTTTATCAGGTACTTGCATCTGGAGTACTAATTTTGTGGATTTCTGTGCCTGTAACTTTATTTTTCTTTTCTTATAGGAAAATTGGTGATTAAGGGATTTTAAATGAAAAAAAAAAAATCAATCTTTTGTGAAAAGTATGATGCCCATGTAAGACAGCTGAAATCAGGACGTTGGAAAACACATTGAAAGTGCTAATTACTTTGAAGGTCAAGAATTTTGTGCCACCATTAATGTAACAGAAAATGCTCTATGCCAACACTGTGCAGAACAAGCTTCATGTTTGGGTAATAGAATGTGACAAGGTGCACAGCTTTATCCTGTAGTACCCAGACACTAAGGACACATTAAAGGTACTGCATTAACCAGCAGTGGTGGCTTATAACTGTTGAAGTTCTGTTGTGATTGAACGCTTTTCACTTGTATTTTTCTATCTGTTCTTGTCACATTACTGCTATTTGTCAATAAAACCAGGAAAGCTAGCAAACCTGTTTTTTAGATGGGCTGAAAATGTAAAACATATCTGTACTTGCTTCTTCTGAATGTTGTTTTACAGGGCCTTTTCCCCAAACAAGAAATGGTTGTTAAAAGCAGACTATCAGTAATATAGATGTAAGGAAGAAT